GCCTCCCAGCCCTACGACATCCCGTGTCTGTGGGGCGGGGCCGGGCCGTTGGGTCGCCCCTCCCACTCTCCACTCCTTTTCTCCCTAGGAAATCGCTGAGCACAAAGGCAGCATTGATTCTCCGCCAACCCCAGAGCGGTCTCCGCAAGGCTCAGCCACCACGCGCTCGCTTCACCCCTGCGCGGGGACACCAAGAGCACCGTGTTCCGACCCTCTGCCCTGGGATCCGAGCCGGCGACCCTCTCCGTCGCGCGCCCACAGTGCAGGCCTTACCTGTGGGTCGCCTCTGGGTTCTAGCCTCAGGCCCTGACACGTTCAGAGCCAGAGGGGAGCAGCTTCCTCTCCGGCTTGGTCCCCCAGCGCAGTCCTTCTGGGAGGTGCTGGCAGGGGCCTCTGCTGCCTACGTCCTACCTCTTTTCCTGGATAAACACAGCTCTGTCTGCGCGGCCATCAGCCCAGCCTTCTGACTTCCTCCAGCTGAAGCCAGGTTTCTAGCAGCAATCCACTCCTGTGCCCAGGCCTCCTCTGCTGGAGCTGGGCTGCTTAGGGGTTGGGGAGGGCTACAGAGAAGAGGGAGACAGCCATCAATGGACACTGGCCTCCCGTCTTCTTTGGTGCTTGGTTCCCACCCCAACCCTCCCAGGGGGAGTCTGTCTTACGTAAAACCCTCCGTGTTGGAATTCTGCCTTGGGCCCCAGTGCCTTGTTCTGGAGCCATTCCAATAGCTCCAAGGTAGAGTGACTTGCAGTGATCAGTTCTCTTCATTATTCTGGCTAATAGTTCTCTGAATTATTCTGACTCAAGGAAAAGTGGCCAGGCTCAGGATTTCTGGACATAGAAAGACAGAAGATAAAGCTGGATCCAACAGGTAGGATCAAGCTGGCCTATGCCCTCCATCTCTGGCAGATCTTAGGAAGCACAGACCACCACAGAGAAGATGAGACCATTAGTTGCACACCTACTATCCTTCAGTCCCTGAAAGGCAGCAAGGAGGGCGGGGTGCGGTAGCTCACGTCTGTAATCCCAGCACTTTGGGAGGCCGAGGACGGCGAATCACCTGAGGTTGGGGGTTCCAGACCAGCCTGACCAACATGGAGAAACCCCGTCTCTACAAAAAATAAATAATTTTTTTTTTTTTTTTTTTTTTTTTTTTTTTTTTTTTTTTTTTTAGACGGAGTTTTGCTCTTGTTACCCAGGCTGGAGTGCAATGGCGCGATCTCGGCTCACCGCAACCTCCGCCTCCTGGGTTCAGGCAATTCTCCTGCCTCAGCCTCCTGAGTGGGTGGGATTACAGGCACGCGCCACCATGCCCAGCTAATTTTTTGTATTTTTAGTAGAGACGGGGTTTCACCATGTTGACCAGGACGGTCTCGATCTCTCGACCTCGTGATCCACCCGCCTCGGCCTCCCAAAGTGCTGGGATTACAGGCTTGAGCCACCGCGCCCGGCCAATAAAAATTTTTTTAAAAAGAAAAGAAAAGAAAGGCAGCAAGGATAGTTCCTCTCCTAGGACCACTCTTCTCCTTCATCCTTCAGCTCTGAAGGCCCTCATTGACAACCATCTGAATTAGGGCACCTGCTGTACACTTTCACAGTACCCCATACTTTTCCTTTATGGCATTGATTACAGTTTCCCCCCTCTATTTTATGTGGTTCTTTATTTAATGTCTACCTCTCTTATTAGACTAAGAATAATAAAAACAGTGCTTAGTGCAAAGCAGGTACTCAATCAGGGTGTACTTGATGAGTGAATTAGTAAGCAAAATTTGTTCATCCAATCAATTTGTTCATCCATTCATTGACGTGCCCAAAAAGTACCAGGCACTGTGCTAGGTGCTGAGGATACACAGAATAGAGAGCTAAGGGGAGAGATAGACAATAAGCATGCAAGCAACAATAAGACAAATTGTGAAATGCAGGAAACAAACAAGATGAAACAAACCAGGGAATGCAGTGATTATTTTGTCATCTCATACTAGAAGATCTTAACAAAGTAAGTGTTTCTTTTGTGGAGATCCCTGGCAGCCTCCAGACCTTCCATTCCTGTGGATCCTGACTCAGCTCAGCCCTGGTGGTGTTTCTGGGGAGGGCCAGTCTTCTTGAAGTGCAGCTGTTTTCATGGCTGGGTGTCAGTCACATGGGCTGGGAATCTGGATTCTGCGACTGACTAGCTGTGTGACCTCTAGCATGTAACTTAATCTCTTTGGGACTTACCGTTTCCATCTGGAAACCAGGAGAATAAAAGTCTCAGAGTTGGTATGAGGATTAAACAAGATAACATGTGGACGTCAGTTAAGCTGACATCCGCTAAAAGTGTGAGATAACAGAAAACCCAACTCAGTCTGATTTAACAATATGGACACTTGGCTTCCATTATAAGAAGTCCAGAAGTAGGGTAGGACCCAGGGAAATTTGATTCTGTGCTTCATTCAGTCATTCAACCACAGTCATTGAGTACGTACTATGTTCTAGGCACTATTCTGGGCTTTGGGGATATCACAGTGATAACTCCTCTGGCCAAATGTAGTTTACACTTTAGTGGGGGAAGAAAGACAATGGACATAAATAAATTCATAAAAGTATGGTTCATTAGATGGAAATAGGTGTTGTAGGGAAAATTAAGGTAGGAAAGGATGAGTGAAGGCACCAGGGGAGTATACAGTTGCCTGAGCCCAGGAGGCGGAGGTTGCGGTGAGCCGAGATCGCGCCATTGCACTCCAGCCTGGGTAACAAGGGCGAAACTCCGTGTCAAAAAAAAAAAAAAAAAAAAAAGAAAAAAGAAACAAGGAAACAGGAAATGAGAATAGTTCCATTAGGTCACACAGCAAGCCAGTGATGGAGTAGAGTTGGCAGCAATTCTGATAGCATCTCCTTCCTTCTTTCTGCCTCTTTTGCCACCTTTTGCAATCTTACATACTTGTGAAAATGTAACTTGATGAAGGCAAGAGTGCCATGGCATGGTGAAGCCTCAGTCTGCTGCAAAGCAGGAAGCCATTTCCCCCTTACTGGCTATGGGGAACCCTATGTTATAGTGACTGAGCTTTTTCCTTAGTTGCTCTTGTGCAGCATCTCACTCATATGATGTAATGTAACCTGGACATGAGCAAACCAGTGTAAGAAATGAAACTGTAAAAGTGGATAGAAAGGGGGGAAAAAGTGGATACAAAGTGAGGCAGGCATACTTAACATGAAGAAAAACTGGTAATTTGGCATTCTTTCAGTTAGGCTCTTTCACTTGGGCGGAGGTCTGGTGTGCTACAGCTGTTCTGTAAGCCTGCCAGAGAAATCTAACGGTGGGAGTACAGTACCTTCACCGTCTAAACTTCCTCCCGACCAGTCATATCTTTTAACATGTGAAGTACAGTTCTCATAAGAGCCCACTCTTTGAAGTTTCAGGAGTTGCTGGAAGATGGAATAGAGGGTGGCTGTTGCCAGACCTATAACTTGTAGAGTTGTGAGCCCAGCCATCTCCTGGGCACTTTCTCAGGCTCTCTCAGAGTTTGCGGGAGAAGGAACTGCCAGCTTCACTTCTGTAGTGCCCCCACACCTACTGGGCCCTTGTTGCAGCTTAGGTACTGGGGGTGGGCCCTAGAGACAGAGCTTCTGGGACCTGGGTCTTCCTCTGGCTTGGCCATCCCAGGTCAGTCAGCTCTGGCAATGGAGGGCTCCAGCTGATCTGTGGCTGTGGAAGGATGACTAGGCAGGGTACCACAAGGCTATCACTAAGTTATTAGGTTGGAAATTGTCAATATTTGACCATTCTGACCTTCGAAATAGTGATTTCATATGGCTCAGCTTAAATTTTTAATAAGAGTAAAGAAAGGAAAGAAATGGAAGCCCAAATAATCGATTGCCTGCATTAGGAAGCCGAATATGTTTTCCAGAACATTAGTCTCTCCATTCATTGTTTAGTCTCGTCAAGGCTCTTTTACAGGTTGAATTGTGTCCTCCCAAAAAGGTATGTTGAGATCCTAATCTCCAATATCGCATGTCACTTTATTTGGAAATAGAGTTTTTTTTTTTTTTTTTTTTTTTGAGACGGAGTTTCGCTCTTGTTACCCAGGCTGGAGTGCAATGGCGCGATCTCGGCTCACCGCAACCTCTGTCTCCTGGGCTCAGGCAATTCTCCTGCCTCAGCCTCCTAAGTAGCGGGGATTACAGGCACGCGCCACCATGCCCAGCTAATTTTTTGTATTTTTAGTAGAGACGGGGTTTCACCATGTTGACCAGGATGGTCTCGATCTCTCGACCTCATGATCCACCCGCCTCGGCCTCCCAAAGTGCTGGGATTACAGGTTTGAGCCACCACGCCCGGAAATAGAGTTTTTAAAGAGATAATCAAGTTAAAATGAGGTCATTCAGGTGGGCTCATGATGACTGATGTCCTAATAAATTTGGAAACAGAAATTTCCAAATAGATTTGGACACAGAAGTAGGTATGCACAGAGGGAAGACATGGTGGAGACGCACAGAGGGAATGCCATGTGAAGACAGAGGACTAGAATGATGCATACAGAAGCCAAGGGACGCCTGAGGCTCCCAGAAGCCAGGAGGGAAGCACGGACAGCTCCTTCCCTAGCACCTTCAGAAGGAGAATGGCCTTAGTGGACACCTTGATTTTGAACTTCTAGCCTCCAGAACTGAGAGACAATTAGTTTTTGTTGGTTTAAACCACCCGGTTTGTACTGCTTTGTTACAGCAGCCCCAGGAAATGAACACAGGCTCCTTCCAGTGATGAAAACCTATGCTGTTGGTAAGACACAACAGCACAGCCTGTGCTAAAAATGGCAGTGGTTTAATCTCTGGAATCCCAGACAACAGATCTGAGGTATCAGTTCCTATGGGATCTAGTTGTGCTTCCTACTCTGACAAAAAGATTCATGTGTTCAGATATAACAAAGCCAGCTTTCTAACTTACAATGCATATGCACGTGCTTGTGTGTACCCCCACCATGTATTTACTCTTCATGCTTGGTTTTCTAGCATTTTCAAGTTTGCAGTAAAAGTTTCAATACACATTTATTTCTCCAGTCCGCGGTGGAGCAGATGTTACACATGTACAACAAGAGCCCATTGAAATCTCAGGAGAAGCAGACGCATATCCTAAGGAGACACAAAGAGTTGTTTTTTTTTTTTTTTTTTTTGTCTTTTTTGAAACTGGATCTCATTCTGTTGTTCAGGCTGGAGTATAGTGGCATGATCCCCGCTCACTGCAACCTCCACCTCCTGGGTTCAGGCAATTCTCCTGCCTCAACCTCCCAAGTAGCTGGAACTACAGGTGCACACTGCCAGGCCTGGCTACTTTCTTACTATTTTAGTAGAGACGATGTTTCACCATGTTACCCAGACTGGTTTTGAACTTCTGAGCTCAGGCAATCCACCCGCCTCGGCCTCCCAAAGTCCTAGGATTACAGGTGTGAGCCACAGCACCTGGCCTAAGAGTTGTTGATATGCTCACAGGAAGTATTTCTGTGTTTAAAAGTTGAGAAGGTAGAAACTGAATCCCCTTCTATTCAGAAGGCTGTTTCAGAAGGTCATTGTTGGCAGGCTGCTCCTTAAAGGGATTCGGCAGTGATGAAGCAGAGTATTAAGGGGGCAACTGCGTCTTCTGGCGGGGGGAGAGCCTTACGCAGAATGGGATGGAGTTCACTAGCAGCTCTTTATGTCAGACTTAGGTTTCAGCTTTATAAATAAGCCTAAACAAACAAAATAACAGCAGATGATTAGAAGTCAACTAACTTCAATCTGAGGGACTACTCTAAATGGAAAGACATATACAAAAGAAGGATTTGAGAGTCACATTTGTACCTTCAGTCTATCTGTCCACTCTCACTTTTCAGCCCAATTCAGAATCAACTTTTGAAGATCACAATACTGTATTACCTCTCCCTGGGTAACCAGGTCCTCACCGCTTGGCCATTTCATGACTCATTACTACTTCCATTAGAGATAGTCAGGAAAATGAAAAGAACTAAAATTACAAGTGAACCATCTGGCACCTTTATGATATTGAAAGGTTTAGTGAGAGAGAAAGTATAAACTACAGCCTGGAATGGAGTTCTTAAATTGACTGTGGATTTAAATTATTATTTACCACCTGCTCCTTTTAGCCATCATTCCTGCAAATGCTTAATACTTAGGAGGAAAAGTTACTTTCTTAAACAAGATACAAAAAGCATTGACCACAAAGGGAAAAATCTAATAAATGCAACTAAATTAACAATAAAAACTTCTGTTCATAAAGAAGGTATCTTTTTTTTTTTTTTTTGAAACGGAGTTTCGCTCTTGTTACCCAGGCTGGAGTGCAATGGCGCGATCTCGGCTCACCGCAACCTCCGCCTCCTGGGTTCAGGCAATTCTCCTGCCTCAGCCTCCTGAGTAGCTGGGATTACAGGCACACGCCACCATGCCCAGCTAATTTTTTGTATTTTTAGTAGAGACGGGGTTTCACCATGTTGACTGGGATGGTCTCGATCTCTCGACCTTGTGATCCACCCGCCTCGGCCTCCCAAAGTGCTGAGATTACAGGCTTGAGCCACCGCGCCCGGCCTAAAGAAGGTATCTTAAAGCAAATAAAAGACAACTTACACACTGGAAGGAGGTATGTGTAACAACTTATATATCCAACGAAAGAATTGTTCTAATATAAAATCTATAAAGAACACTATAAATCAGTCAGAAAATGAGAAAAAAATTGAAAAAAAAGATGAACAAACAAAAATTTCACTGAATGGGAAAAAATATGGTCAATAAACACATGAAAAGACACTCAGCCACATAGGTAATCAGAGAAATGCAAATGAAGACCACATCGAGAAGCCGTTTTATAACCATTTGACTGGCAAAAATCATGAAGTCTGACTTCACTAATTGCTAGAGAAGATGAGAATCAAAAGAGTATCATCTATTGCTGGTGGGAGTTTAATTTGGTATAGCCTTAAAAAACAATGTGGCATTCCTCTGTAAAGCTGAACACTTAAAATACCCTGCTACCCAGAAATTCTACTCCTAAATATATGCCAAGCTCTCGCCCATGCACACCACCAGGAGACATGAACAAGAATGTTCACAGCAGCACCATTTGTAATAGAGGCCTGTCATCGGAAGAGAGACATTCATGTGGGAAAGTCACACATAGAGTGTTACACAGTAGTTCAAATGAGTGAGTACAGCCAACAACATGGATGAACCTCAGTACTCCTGGGAAGTACACAAGTCAGGTGTGTACTCATGATTTTCCTGAGACAGTCTACACACACATAAGTGTAGACACATTTTTCTTATTTACGGCATCACAACATTTCACAATTTTTTAATGGCACACACATACAATATAGTTCATACGTGAGCTGTAGTTCTTTAACCCATCTCTTATTGATGGATAGCTATGTTTTGTCAATCTTTTGCTATTGCAAATACTGTTGCATGAGTGACACAATCACTGGAACCCTGTAGCAGTCTAATACATTGTAATTTTGCACAGTTACTATATCTGTGAGATAAAGTCCTGGAGGTGGGTCAAAGGGCACATCACTTTGTAAATTTTTTTTTTTTTTTTTTTGAGACAAGGTCTGGCTGTCACCCAGGCTGGACTGCAATGGCATGAATTCAGCTCACTGCAACTTCCATCTCCCGGGCTCAAGGGATCCTCCCACCTCAGCCTCTCAAGTAGCTGGGACTACAGGTGCACACTACCATGCCCAGCTAATTTTTGTGTTTTTTATAGAGATGGGCTCTTGCCACATTGCCAAGGCTGGTCTTGAACTCCTGGGCTCAAGTGATTCTCCCACCTCAGCCTCCCAAAGTGCTGGGATTATAGGCATAAGCTTCTGCACTGGGCTGTGATTTTGATAGATGTTGGCAATTTGCCCTTTATTAGCAATGTATAATAATATCTTTTTTTGAGATGAAGTTTCACTCTTGTTGCCCAGGCTGGAGTGAAGTGTCGTGATCTTGGCTCACTGCAACCTCCACCTCCTGGGTTCAAGCGATTCTGTTGCCTCAGCCTCTGACGTAGCTGGGATTACAGGCATGAGCCACCACGCCTGGCTAATTATAATTTTTTAGTAAAGATGGCGTTTCTCCATGTTGGTCAGACTGGTCTCAAACTCCTGTCCTCAAGTGATCTGCCCATCTCGGCCTTCCAAAGTGCTGGTATTACAGGTGTAAGCCACCACACCTGGCCAAGAATATCTTTAACTTTTTCTTTCCATGACAGGAATGAAGAATTTTTGGGCATGTATGGGTTATAATACAAAGGCAAAAAATCAAAGTAAACAAAAACAACCCCATTCCCCATAAAACCCAAACGAACCGATCAACAAAACTGACAACCTAACCCAACCAAACCTGAAGCAAGTTCAGACCAGCTACTTACTTGTTGCCTCTGAGTACAGGGTTTTCTCATCAACACTTTGAACATTACAGGAAACAAAACATTTCCTTCCTTCAACTTTATCAAGTTGGCTATTTATCACAACAACAGAACAAAGAGGGACAGGTCTGCAGAATAAAAAGAAAAAGAAAAAAAATCAGTTTTTATCTGACTTACATAACAGTAAAAGATGATCGAGTGCATGACAAGGGGTAGAAATTTATGACACCTGACAGCGAGCACTGACTGCCTTAGACAACACATTCCTCAAGGGCTCTGACACCAACAGCCTCTCATGCCCCATTTCTCCCAAGCACCACTGCTCTCAGGTGGCTACTGGGCGGCAGTCTCTGGATGCCTCTCTGGGTTTGTTTCAAAGGGATCATCAGGAATTCCAGCTCTGTGATGGCAGAGACTATCCTATCTGGATATCTACTGCAAAGTCCTAAGGGAGCTAAAATCCTTTAAAGAAGTGAAAACAGTTCCAACAGATGGTCCCAGGCAGCTTCTCTCATTTCCTCTGTCATATCAACATTTCTCATCCAATTCTGAGTAATGGTCACTATAAAGACATCTGATAACAACAAATTGCTGGTAACACTTACTGCACTAAGCCAGTACCGTCCAACAGAACTTTCTGCGATGATACAAATGTTCCATATCTGAGCTGTCCAATATGGTAGTCACATGTGCCTAATGAGCACTTGCAATGTGGCTAGCATAACTGAGAAGTTGAGTCCTTAAATTTATTTAATTTTAATTAATTCATACTTTAAATAGCTACATGTGACTAGTGGCCACAGACGTTTCTGGGAGTCCTGGAGATACATATAACATTGAAAGCGATATGTCTTTAAAGGCGAAATTTCAGCTGGTAGAAACAGAAGGTAGAGCACAGAAATGTGTTTTGTGCTCCTATGGTACTACCAAGTGGATGATGGAACTACTCCAGGTAGAAAGGAAGTTATCATTGTGATGATCTCTCTGCCCAGTTTTCCTTTCAATGATCTTTTAATACTTCCACTCCCATTAGCTTTTCCTTTGCTCTGTTGTTGAGCCAATTCAAAATTTACCAAGACCCAGGGGACATTATGTGTTCTCATCTGCCTAGGATCTCCCTTTTCTATTAACATGACTCTTTTCATTTATCCACCCCCTACCCTCCCTTCATTCTTTCTTTCATACACTCATGTACCCCTTTTGTCACAGAACCACTTCTCCCTCATTCTTAGCCCATGTAGGTTGATTGGCATTGAATGATGATCTCCCCACTCCACATACACATAGTGATTGGTTGTGGGCACAGTCTGTGAGCACAGTCTAAAACAGTGAATCCTGGACTTGTGCTGGAGACCCTGGGGCTGGGTTCTTTTCCTCTGAGGTGCTAGGGTTACTAGACACAAGCCTGGCTGGTCTGGCCATTGTACCACTACACTGGGAAAGGCTATGCGAGGATGAAGCAGATCTAGAAGGAAGTGTGGCTGAGATTCCTAATGACACCGCTGAATATGCACCCAGCCACACCTGACTTCTCAACCATACAAACCAATATATTCCTTTTTTGCTTAAGCTAGTGATACTTGAGTTGCCTTTGCAGAAGAAAGTCCTAGACAGAGACTAACAGAAAATGTTTCAGAAAATACAAAATAATGTAACAACTATAGTGTACAATTTTTGAAATGTAACTAGTATTTAGGCACACATCGGTTTGATTGGCATAGGAAACTGGCTTTAGCTCCTTTTCCTCAGTCTAGGTTTGCTAGACAACTTAGTTAGATTTGGATTAGAGGCAGAAAAGTGGTAACAAAGATAAAAGCAACATTTAAAAAGAAAAAACATATATTTGTATGTTTATATATGTCTATACACACCCACACACCATATACATACACAATAGAAAGGCATAACAAAGCCAAAAGATTACTCTTTGAAAAGACTAATAATCTCTGGCAAGATAGTTCAAGACAATGAGAGAGCGCATATGTAAATACTATTGGGGCCAAAAAGGATATAGATTTAGCTGAAATTTTTAATAATTGAGAATTTGTGAATATTATGAATAACTTTACGTCAATTCATTTGAAAATACAGATGAAACAGAAAAAATTTCAAAAACGTTATTAAAACTAAGAATAATAATCCCAGCACTTTGGGAGGCCGAGGCGGGCAGATCACGAGGTCAAAAGATTGAGACCATCCTGGCCAACATGGTGAAACCCTGTCTCGATTAAAAATACAAAAATTAGCTAGGTGTGGTGGCACGTGCCTGTAGTCCCAGCTACTCGGGAGGCTGAGGCAGGAGAATTGCTTGAACCCAGGAGGTGAAGATTGCAGTGAGCTGAGATCGCGCCACTGCACTCCAGCCTGGTGCCAGGCGACAGAACGAGACTCTGTCTCAAAAAAACAACAAAAAACCCCACAAAAAACAAACAAACAAACCTAAGAATAAAATGATTGGAAAGTCTGAATAGTTCAATAAAGAAGACACTGAGGCTCTAAGAGGAAGAAGGGGTCACACTCTGGAAGGGGTCTGGGTCTCTCAATCACTTCGTGGGGGTAGGAGAACAACATGTGGGGGTAGGGACTATTAGGTAAACCAAAAAAGCCTATAGGTTTAAGGTAGTGAAATGCAGGAGTTACACTAGCTAGTGTTACTCTAATTTACTATGGATTTTTTTTGTGAAGTTCTTTTGTTTTTTGCGTCAAATTTAATGTGGCCACAGAACTTTGCTTCTAAGATTCTGATTCTGAGGCTGGGCGAGGTGGCTCACACCTGTCATCTCAGCACTTTGGGAGGCCGAGGTGGGTGGATCACCTGAGGTCAGGAGTTTGAGACCAGCCTGGCCAGCATGGTGAAACCCTGTCTCTACTGAAAATACAACAAAATTAGCTGGGCAAGGTGGTGTGCACCTGTAGTCCCAGCTATTCAGGAAGCTGAGGCAGGAGAATTGCTTGAGCTAGGCAGGCAGAGGTTGCAGAGAGTCAAGATCGTACCACTGAACTCCAGCCTGGGCAACAGAGCAAGACTCTGTCTGAAAAAAAAAAAAAAAAAAGAGCAAACAATGTGTTGGAATCTCCACTATATAAAGGGGAATTAGTCAATTGCTCCCTATGATTATATCAACTGTATTTATAGTATTTGATTTTATTAGATGCATATTGATTTAGAATTATTATTACCTACTAATGAACTGAATATTTTATTATTACAAAGTAGCCTTCTTAGTCCTCAATATTACTTTTGTTACAGCTCATTATTTTTTCTGATACTTGCTTTTTTCTGGTTACCTTTTGCCTAGCATATTTTCCCTTCCTTTTAAACTTTTTGGTGTCACTTAAAAAATATGTCTTGTCTGCGCGTGGTGGCTCACGCCTATAATCCCAGCACTTTGGGAGGCCGAGGCAGGTGGATCACGAGGTCAAGAGATCGAGACCATCCTGGTCAACATGATGAACCCCGTCTTTACTAAAAATACAAAAAATTAGCTGGGCATGGTGGTGCTTGCCTGTAATCCCAACTACTCAGGAGGTTGAGGCAGGAGAATTGCCTGAACCCAGGACGTGGAGGTTGCGGTGAACCGAGATCGCGCCATTGCACTCCAGCCTGGGCAACAAGAGCGAAACTCTGTCTCAAAAAAAAAAAAAAAAAGTCTCATATAGTTTCTAGTTTTTTACATTTAAAATTCAATTTTATAATCTGTCATTGAACTGATGGTTTGGTCTATTTATAGACTGCTATTACTGATTTATTTAGAATTATTTCTATCATCTTATTTTGGCTTTTTATTTGACTTGCTTTTTCTAACCCTTTTTTTCCTTGCTTTTTTAGAGATTGAGTTTTACTACTTGTTTGATCTTGTACTGTTTTAGACATTAGTTACACACTCATTTTAATCATTCTCCCCACTGAAAAATATGAGGATGTATAAACATTAACTCTGTTCATCTCCTCCCAAACTACATGCTATTGTTGTCCGGTATTTTAGCTGTCCTTTTGTTAGTCACTACAGTTTATTTATTATAAATTTTTACTTTTTATTCTTTTTAGAGATGGGTTCTCAATCTGTCCCCCAGGCTGGAGTGCAGTGGCACAATCACAGCGCACTGCAACCTTGAACTCCTGGGCTCTAGTGATCTTCCTGCATCAACCTCCCAAGTAGCTAGGACTACATGCATGAGCCATTGCAACACGTCAATTCTCAGAATTTAGATATCATTATTACTTATAGAGTCTATTTAGATTTCATTTATCTACATGTTTACCAGTTCACTTGCTCATGATTCTTCCTTTCATCCTCCTGCCCTCTGGGATTGCTCTCCTTCTTTCTGAAGTTCACCATTTAGGAGTTCCCTGGGTGTTGTCCTGCTGTTCCATAATTTCTCTCCATTTGTTTGAATGAAAGCACCTTCATTTTGCCCTGATTTTTGAACTTCAGCTTTAGTTTAGACTGACATTTTCTTTTGGCAGACGTTTTATTGTCTTCTGGCTTCTACTGTTGCTACTGAGAGGTTGACTGCCAGTGTAATGGTGCCCTCTTGCTTCTAAAAAGCAAGGCTGCTCTGTAATGGCTGCTCTATCCTGGCTCTGCTTTTAGGATCTCTTTGTCTTAAGTATTCTCCAACTTCTCTCTAATGTCTCTAGATAGACTTTTAAAATCTAGCTTGATATATATTGCTTTCTATATTGTCAATTCATGATTTTCTTTAGTTCTCAAATATGCTCACCCATTATTTCCTTACATACTGAATCTCTTTGATTATTCTATTTTCCTAGGACTCTAATTAGAGCATTTTAGATCTTTTTATTTGTCTACTCTAGCTTAAGCTCTCTTTATATTTTCCATTTCCTTTTTTCTCTGTGCTGGATTCAGGGTAATTTCTCTCTCTTTCTGCTAAACCTAGATCTGAAAATAATAATTAAAAAGCTTCACTTAACATATGAAGTTGCTAGCTCTAAATACATTAACTGTGATCCTCAAAATACATCTTTAAGAAAAGTATTATTGTCTTTGGTTAATGGATGAGGAAACTGAGGCCCAGAGAGGTTAGGTAATTTGCTGAAGCTATATGGCTGTTTTGTGGGACACGTGGGATTAAAATCTCCATCGGTCTGATTCAAAGTTCCACT